TTACAGATAAGGAAACGGGCCAAGAGGGGAAATCTTCTGCCTGAGCTCACACAGCAAGTGGCATTGAGATTTGAACTCGGTGGCCCAACTCTAGTTCTGTTTCTCCTTCCCGGTACTAGGCACTAAATGCAGGGCCTTTACATTGAGCTACATTTCTACCCCCTTTTTATTTTTTATTTTGAGACAGGGTCTCCCTGAGCCCAGGCTGGGCTAGAATCTGACATTCTCTTGTCTCAGTCTATTAGCTGAGATTACAAGGGTAGATATCACAGCACAGCCCAACTCTGGTTCTTAACTGCTGCATTCTACTGCCTTTATTACCCTCGTGTGTGTGTGTGCACGCACGTGTGCGTGCATGTGTATAAAATGGGCATATACATCTGTACGTCTTACACACGAGTCAGATCGGAAGGCCTGCCTTGGTTGAGGGCTGCTCCCCCACTGAACCTCCCCCAGTCTGCCCTGCCGCCCCGGCTGCCCCCCAGGTTCTACCCTTACCTTAATGGTCTGCTCGGCCACTCGGGGCTCAAAGTCTCGGCTCAGGCTCTGGACTTTGTCAAAGAAGCGGGAGAGACTCTATGGGCGGGGACACGGGGGAGACAACCTTGAGGGCTGGGGGAGCACGGGGCAGGGGGCGGGCGCACACGTGGAGGGGTTTCCATCCTCAGGTCCACGGGGCTGCTCACCTTGCTGTGGATCCCCGGGGGCAGGGTCCAGGCAGGGAAGAGGATTTCTGCTGGCGACAGGACAGGGCTCATGAAGACAAGAGTTCTGGGGGGGTCAGGTGGCAGGGATCCTAGCGAGGGCCAGGTCAGGCTAAATACCTTTGCAGGTGGTGTTCTTTGGCCCATTGGCGAACCCAGGAAGTGGCTTCCAACCCTGGCGGCAGCGGCACCTGTACGACCCCTGGGTGTTGATGCAGATGGTGGAGTTGTGGCACTGATGCTGCCCGGAGTTGCACTCATTCACCTCTGGGGACACAAACGAGAAGGTCAGGCCCTGTCCCAACCCAATCAGGATTCTATCTCCACCTCGTCCTCCGGACAGCAGTGCCGCCTTGGCTGGAGATGCTGCCACCTGGTGACCACACCTGGAGGGGCAGGCACTGGGTCGTGAAGAGTGGAGAGGAGACGCACGCCCCAGGCTGGCCCTGTGTAGGTGTACAGGTCGTGAAAATCCTGAGACTCTCCTCCCAGTTAGGAATCAGGTGCTGCCTGGGGTGCCCCAGGGACCTCCCCGTAGTTCTCCAGCTCCTTTCTGGGACCGAGGTCTTTTCTCAGGAGATGAAGTGCCTGGCACAGAGGGCACCTCTGGCACTGGTTCTGCTCGGTTAATTAAGCGATCAGGTAGGTATTCGGACTGTGGGTCCCGCGACTCTGGGTTTGTGGCATCTGAGCTGCGGACCTTCACAGACAGTGTTGCTGGGGCCATTGGGGGATCCAGGAACGGGCTTCCAGCCACGCCGGCACTTGCACATATAGCTGCCCGCAGTGTTGAGGCAGTGGGCGGAGATGTGACACGGGTTTTGTCCACAGGTGCATTCGTTCACATCTGAAGACAAAGCTGGGGCATCAGACCTGGCCCTGACCAGCTCACACCTCCCCCAACTCAGCATCCCTGCCCGTCTTGTCACAACCCCAAACCGAGGCTCTTTCTTGCATGGGCCACCACCTGGTGACTTTCAGCCCCACCTTTAGAGCACCTTGTGGCGGTGGCCTCCCTGCATGAGGGGCACGGCAGGGCGTATCTTCAGTTTTTAAGAAGTGAAACTAGGCGGGAAACTGAACAGTGGCAGCTGGACTTCCTGACCCTGTCTCTGCTCCTGCCCTGGCCATGGCGGAGGCCGCCCTTCTCAGCACTGGAAGTAGCACTTCCTTCTCGTTTGTGCCAAGTAAGGGGGATGTCTCGGGGGCTCTACCAGGGCCCCCTGGGCCCTAAGCCCCCGCCCTCTTGTGGGAAGCACCGTGGGATCTGCTGATCTCCACCCTCCCCAGCTCGGGCTCTGCCTGGGTGCCTGCCCAGCTCCGGCCAGCCTCGTGCACCTTCCCTGACCTCTACCTGTGCACCGCCTCGGGCCCTCGGGAGTCAGCCTGTGCCCCGGTGGGCAGACACTGACGCAGTCGCCACGGTCATTGACAATGCCCTGGCAGACTTTGCGGTTCTTTGTCCACTGGCTCCCATCTGGAAGAGGAGAGGAGGACGCTGCAGCTGTAGGCAGCTTCTGGGCTCGGAGTTGGCCGGGCTTCCCGGCACCGAAGCGTCTGGAGGTCTCCTCCCTGGGCTGAGGCGTCCCACAGTCAGTGCGGTGGCCCAGACTCTGTTGTCCAGATGTGGCCGGAAGCCGCTGAGGCCTCCCCAGCCACCAGCTCCAGTGCCCGCTGCCCCCCCAGGCAGCTCCCCGCAGGGGCAAGGACCTCACGACCACTCGTGTCCCAGCCTGAGGATTCGGAGCAGAGCCCAGCTAGGCCTCCCGAGACCAGAGTGCAGGGGAGACGCCCATCTTGGCATGAAGTGTTGGCCTGTGGCCTTATTCCACCAGGGCTGCTGTCCCACACCCGAGGGCCCCTGGGAATGGTGGCAACCTCAGAGGACAGCACTGTTAGCCCCATCAACTCCATGGAAGTCAGAGTCCCCCAGGAGGCTCAACTGCACGGACAGAGAACCACAATGTGGGCGCCAGGCTGCAGGGTCCAGCCGGGTCCTCTCCATGATGCCCGCAGAGGCGGGTGGTGGTGACAATCTGCATTTCAGCCCTGTGCTATGTCCAGGCAGCCAGGACAAGGAGCAGGTGCCGCTGGGGTGGGCAGGAGGCCATTCTGCCATCTCTGTGTCCCCTTCCACTGAGACGCAGACTGGGAGACTGGGACCTGGCTTCTGTCTCTGTCCCCTCCGAGCCGCCCTGTCACCATGGTCCAGACTCCAGCGTCCTCCTCCACCCAACTCAGGCTGTTTCAGGCCTCGATGCCACCCCACCTGTCCTGGTCCAGATTCTTCCTGTGCCCGCAGCAGGAATGGTGACTGGGGCTTCAGGGTGGGGACCTGGGCAGGATGGTACGGGGACTGCATGCCTACCCTCTGTCCTTCCTTCAGAGCATCCAGACTGAGTTCCTGGGTCCACGGTGGCCGGGAAGTCGGGGAGGTTTCCGGGCATGGCTGAAACCGGAGTGGCAGGCGTCGTCTGGGCCACTGCTGGGACTGGGAAGAAGGTGCCAAGTTGGCTGAAATGGGCACGTGCGAGCCTTGCGGAGCATCCTGGGCACAACCCGTTCCAGCGATGCAAATGCGATGGCAACAGATGGAACCTTCTGACCTCCCGGAAGTGGAGGGTTCTGGATCTCGGGGACCACACAGGGACCAGGTATTCAGAGGGTCCAAATGACACCCAGAGAAAGTCCCAGCCACCGTGGGGCTGTGACTCAGGCAGATGCATCCTCCAGTGATGAGACGGGGTCTCAGGTGATAGGTGCCGCTCTGTGTCACACACTGGGGGCTCACGGGCCCTTGGTCACCTTGCCCCTGCCCACACAATTCTGTGTCCCGCCACAGCCGCCCCATCCGCCCAGGCGTATTTCTAACACAGCAGCCCCAACAGTCGCACCATCCTGTTTCTGTCCCGAAGGCTCGCACCCTCACGGGCCGTGCTGAGCATCCACGGTCTCCACGGACAGCTGACTCACTGCACAAGGTTATGGGGCCCCAGGGGCCGAAACCACTCTTGCTCCCCGTGCTGTCTCTGTTTCCTGATTCACCAGCACTGCAGTGGCTGGAGCGCCCCTGTGGGGCAGGTCCCTTTTCTGCCATCCTCTGCTGTCTGCATATGTAGGTGGCGGGAGGGACAGGCCTGGGACATGGGCTGCAGCTCTCCTTGGACTCTTGGCTCAGCCTCAGCCTCCCTTCCCTGATCTCCAAACTTGGCATTAACCTCTCTTTGGGGAGTCCCAGCTTCCACACCCATCCCTGCCACCAGCTCCGGAGAGGAACTAAGCCTTGCATGTAGCTCTGCAGGCCCTCCGATCACCCATCCAGGAGAAGTCAGATCCTAAGAGTCAAGGAACCCACAAAACAAACAACAACAACAAAAGAAGTCTGCTGTAGCAAGCACTTGCCAGCATGTACAAGGCCCTGGGCTCAATCCTCAGGTTGCTGCTAACAGAGCAGTTAAACACCTTCAGGTCTCATTTACCTTCTCAGCAATGCTATGAGATAGGAGTCACCATTCCTCTTTCTATAGATGGGTGACCCCAGGCACAGAGAAGGCAAGTAACTGTCCACTGTCATGCAAAGAACAAAAACAAAGCTACTGTTGCCAGGCATAGTGGGCACACCTGTAACCCCAGCACTCAGGAGGCTGAGGCAGGAGGGTCCCAAGTTGGGAGTCCAGCATGGGAAACTTAATGACTCAGCAAGATCCTGTCTGAAGATTTAAAACAGGGCTGGAGGTACAGCTCAGTCCCAGGCCGTGGGTTCAATTCCCAGTACTGCAAAAAAAAAAAAAAAAAAAAAAGGGGACTCCTTTTTCCCTCTTTTTTTCTCCTTTACACAAAATCACAGTATCCTCACCAGATGTCACTAGACAACAAGGTTCCTGTGTGCGCCAGCGTTGTCACTCGCACAGCAGGCAGACAGCAGGCGGGACGGAGCCCTTGGCTCTGTACTGCCCCACCACTCCGCATGCACACCTGTCCCACCTCAGCCCCGTCACCAGGGTCCTGCCCTTAGCTGCTGCAGGGCCAACTCTGAGGCCCCCAAACCTCAGGAAGGGGAGCCGTGGGATATGGGGAGGTCCTTACTGTGACAGTCGTTCTCCTCTGCCTTGCTGAAAATTGTTTTCCCAGAAGTGAGCACATAGCCCGGGCTGCACACACACTGGTAGCTCCCCTCTGTGTTCTCACAGTCTGCAAATTCTCCACAGGCCACACTTCTGGGAGGTATACACTCGTTGATGTCTGGAACACAGCAGGACAAACAGTCAGCTCCTATCCCCAGCATAGGGCCTAGGTTGAGTTGGAATCCTTTGGGAGGAATCTTGGCTTGCACTGCAAAGGCCATGCTGCAGCTAGAGCAAGCCATTCCTGAAGCTCATGCATCTGCTCTGCACATCTTGGAGCCCCGGCTAACACTCAGATTTGGACGCAGGGCACAGTAACAAGGTGAGGGACAGGCCAAAACCTCACCATCCCCCTCCCCAGTCCTAAAGACAACTTGAGGCACAGATTCATCACTCACTGCTGAGTGCCTCTCTTTCTAGGAAGCCACCTCCTTACTTTTTTTTTTTTCTTCCTTCCTACTTACTTCTTCATCTCCTCCTCCTCCTCCTCTTTCTTATTTGTGATACTAAGGATTGAACTCAAGGAGTGCTGAGCTACCCTCCCCCCTTTTAAATTTCTGTGTTTTGAGATAAGATTTTGCTAAGTCACTAAATTGCCTAGGCAGGGCTCAAACTTGCCATCCTCCTGCCTCAGCCTCTCAGAGTGCTGGGATGATAGGCGTGCATCACCATTAGCATCTCTCTGCTCACAGTGACAGTCACAAGGTCAAAGGCTGCGCCTCCCAACTCTCCCTATGTTCCCCTGCTGGCACCAGATGGTCCTCCAACCCCCACTGTCCCCCAGCGTCTACCGTCACAGCTCTCCACAAGGCTGGTGATGATCTCAGCTGGTCCGAATCCTGGGTTGCAGCGACAGGCGGAACTGTTCAAACATCTGGAGGCTTTAGGGCACCAGGAGGCACAGTCTGTGAGAGAAGAGACCATGATCAGAGGGAAGACTGGCCCTGAGCCTCCCCTGTGACCTCCTCCATCCCTGGGCCAAGGGCACGGAGGGCACGAGGAGGGGCCAGGTCCCCACAGTGGGCCACACGCCACTCACTTGTGCTGTCCTGGGCTCCGGCTTCCGACAGACTCAGCAGGACACATAGCACTGTAAGTGACAGGGCAGTGTCAGCGGGCTGGGCGGGAAAAGGCCCAGGAGAGATGGGTGTGAGGGTGGTGCCTGCCCTTCCCCGGCTCAGGGAAGGGGAGCAGGTGGCCCTGACCTGGGCTTTGTCCCCTGTCACCTCCAGGGGGGCCTGAGCCCTGGGGGAGGTGGTCATGGCTCAGCTGCCTGCTCTCCTGGCCTGGGTGCTATAGCCTGAGGTAGAAGGGTCTTAAGCTCAAGCCCAGCCTGGGCAACTTAGCAAGATCATCTCAAAATAAAAATAAAAAGAGGGTGGGGAGGGAGCTCAGTATGAGGCCTTGGGTTCAGTCCCCAGCACCACAGAACAAAAACAAAACCAACAGCCTCTGGGCCGAGTGCTGGCCCAGCTCCCAAAGCTGAGCTCTCAGGGACCCAGCCGCGACATCTCACCCTGTTCCCCACAGGAAGACGCTGTGGGCACCACAGGCTCGGGCTGAGGCCCTGCTGCTACCCCGGCCAGGGCAGTGGAACAAAACTATGTCATCGTGTCCCAGCACTGGGGCAAGACTTCAAGGACCCCAATAACCCTGGGGGTCCAGGAGCACAGTATGGGCAGAGGGCTGGGGACCCAGGGTATGGGTGAGTCACTTCCTGGGCCGAGGGGAGGTGACTAACTGCCCAGGGACACATGGCTCCTGGGTCCAGTACTATGGGTGCAGTTTAGGAGTCTGGATGGGGTCCCCCAGCACTCATCTATGGGATTGTGGAGTCCCCCCAGCCTTAGTTCTCCCAGTAGGGGTAAACTGAGGCTGAAGCTCCACCCCACTGCCTCCCTAGCGCCCAGAGTTCCGCTTTCTTCCTCATCTCTGGCCGCAGGGCCTGGCCAAGTCAGTCCAGCCAGGACACACTTCCTCTCCCACGGACACTGCAGTGACCTTCTTGGGCTGAATCTATCACTTTCCCCAAAGCCACACACCACTCTTTTCAGGCTCTGCAGTGCCCAGGAGTGGGGCTGTGTTTATGGGAAAACTGAGGCCTGGAGGATCACCAGGACAAACGACGCAGAAGGAGGGGCCTGGAGAAGGTGGATTTCAGGGCTGAGTCCCGGCCTGGGAGCGCTCCCTGGCACCCCAACACTCAGCCCAGGCTGCCTCGCCCACCCTGAAGCCATCTGGCCAGGGCGTCCCCATCTGGGGACTGGGAATTCAGTCAAACGGGAGCCAGGGCAGAGCTGCTAGCCATCCGCTGACATCTGCTTCTCATTCTCAGGCGAGCAGGAAGGTCTCTGCCTGGGGACACTGGGGGGGTTGGGGTGCCTCCTGCTAAGGACCCCAGATGCCTGGCAAGGGACCTGAGGGAATTCACCACCGTCACAAGAATGAACTACTGAGGGCTTAGTTCTTCCTGTAACACGGAGGCCCACCTTGCTCCTTTTGATTTTAACGTTTTGGTACTGGGGAGCCCTGCCACTGAGCCACACGCCCAGCCCCTCCACAAGCGGCCCCAGGCTGGGATGAAAGCTGCCCAGCAGCTGGGAGGTCGGGAGTATGCCAGCACACCCAGGGCCGGCTCCATTTCACAGCTGAGGACAGCGCCCGGGCTTTGTCCCTCGGCCCTGTGACACAGCCAGCCAAGCCCGGGCAGCTGACCCCAGCAACCGTGCCCCACATGGTTCCTGTCCCCGTCCCGAGCCCAGGGCACTGCGCTGCCACCTGCTAAGGCAGCCTGCCCTCCCCCCCAGCGAGTCCCTGCGCCCCAGCGTCATTTCTCCACCCTCGGTGTTGCCTGTCGCTCGGGCAACGGCTGCCCCACAAGGTTAGGGCCACCCTGGGTGTGGCAAGAAGGGAAGTGACAGCAGTCAGGTTCGGCCCAGCCAGATCCCACCAGCCGGGGCTCAGTCCTCGGCTCACCAATGGGATCCGTGAGGCCCGTCCCTCCCGGAGTCAGGCGGGACAGCGGGGCGGGGGGGGCCCAAGCACCAGTCCCGCCTGAGCTCTGTATTAGGAGCCACTAGGGTGGTCTCAGCACTCGCCCTGCGCCTCTTTTCTTTCTTTTAACTTTTGTTTGACACAGGGTCTGGTCAAGTCGCCCAGGCTGGGCTCAAACTTTCAATCCTCCTGCCTCAGCCTCCCGAGTGCTGGCGTGATGGGCGTGTGCCTCCCCGTCTAGCTCGCCCTTTCTTTTCCCCAAGCTTCAGTTTCCCCACTTGGGGTGCGACCCCCACGTGGGCTCCGCACAAAGCCGGGAACTCCCCCACGCCCCAAGGGCGCAGAGTCTGTGCCTTGGCCACGTGGCCCCCACTCCCACCCTCCGCAGGGCGCGGTTCCTACCGAGCAGTTGGTGCGGGGCTCCCATGGCGATAGCCGGCCGGGACGCTGGGA